GGCTTGCAGCCTACTCTAGGCAACATTGGGCAGAAGGCTGAGGTACTTGCTAGATAGGACACCAGTCCCCCACAGGGGACATAGTTGCGCTAGCTCATTATCTATGAGCAAAATAAAGACACCAGTTATCCTAATTGCATGTTTTGGACTGTGGAAGGAAAGCCACAGAACACAGGGCGAAAATGCAAACTCCACACAAAAACAGCAAAGGACAAATTGTAATCCCAAACTCTGGAGGTGAGAGGTGACAGTGTGATGTCCTGAAGCTCCATGCCACCCTTGGTTATTTCAGGGCTGTAATTTTGCTGTTGAACCTTCTCCACACAATCCGACGAAGCTGCTTCAGTTTCAGACCATAAACAAGAGGGTTCAGGATAGGAGGAACAATGAGGTACAATATAGAAAGGCTGTTTCTGAGAGACTGCATAGAGGTTTCTGAGCTGAAACGTGCTGACACAACATCAAAAGTTGCAGAAATGGCCATGATACCCAGGGTGATAAGATGAGGCAGGCAGGTCTCCATGAACTTATTACGCTCTGCCTGAGACTGAACACATGTCCTGATGATAAGGACATAGGAGATTATAATTAGCAGGAGTTGAAATATATGAAAAGGCATGACGCAGAAGGTAAATATATTGTTTAAGGTGGTATCTATACAGGACAGCTTTGCCACATCCCAGTCAAAACAATAAAGCTTATTAATTCTGGATCCACACAAAGGCAGCCTGACTACAAGCACAGTGCCAACAATTGTCTCAAAGAACGACAATAACCACGTTATTTGCACCAACATTCCTACTCTGCCAGGAGTCATAATAGAGTGATACTCCAATGGTTTGCATATTGCAACATACCTGTCATAAGCCATTACTGATATATTGGTATTTTCACAGATAAGATATATGGTGATTCCAAATATTTGAATTATACATGCATTGTAGGAGATCACATGAGAGTCTGACAGAAGGTCAATCAGTAGCTTTGGATAGAAACTTGTAGAGCCACAAATGCAATTTACACACAGATTACACAGTAAGATGAACATGGGCTCATGGAGAATTTTTTCAAGCAATATGGTGAAAATCAGAGTCAAATTCGCAAAAATGGTGAAAATATAGGCAAGAAGGGAAAGGCCAAAAAAGATCTGTCTGTTTGTTCTAGTTTCATTCAAGCCACTTAGGAAAAAAACAAGCTCACTGGAAGAGTTCTCCATCTGCTCTGACTTGACGTGGCGTTCACAGACACGGAGCTTCTTTCTAACTGAGCGTCTGGGTCTGGATTGCAGGGTGAGCATGGCTAACAGACCTGCTCAGAAGAACCACAATGCTGTACAGTCAGGATAAATACTGACTTTTGTCTCATCATATCATCTGCCTGTAGGACTGAGTCAGAAGGATCCCATTCTAATTGTCTGATGCATTAACTTCTGCCAGATTACATAGTATTACCATGTCCTCCTCTGTATGGCTGTTTGATGCCTCTGTCAGTTCAGCAGACCTGTAGGCCTTTACAGTATATGCTTCAAGATACTGTTGTTTGCCTTCCATAATTACTGCACTATGCTACACAGGAATGACATAACTCCTCAGTAACACCCAGGAGAACATGACAATCAGAGTTATAATTAGCTCTGCAGGGAAATTGCACTGGTGTGGTCATTCAAGAGAAAAGCCTGAACTACAACTGATTTAATCATGTATCACTAGCATGATCTATTTAATTTACACTAATGCCACATTAATGTCAAATGTGTACTTTTCACCAAGAATGAATTTCTGAATGACGACAGGATCAGTTAAATCTTATAGAGTATATATGGGGAGTGTGAATGTGTGTACAGCGTTCATTTCTGTGTGTCTCCATGTTGGGCGCATGTGTGAATATTTATTTATGTGCGCATGAGGGTGGGAACGTATGCTTGTGTATGTGTACGTCTGTTTGTCTATACGCATGTGTCAGGTTGGGTCTT